GTTAAACTGCACACCCTGATTTCAGTTGTGGGTGGAGCCTGAGGCTCTCCATGGCCAGTAAGCTCTCAGGTAAGGACATGCTGCTGGGCCACGGACCACACATGGAGTAGCAAGGGTCTAGACACCATTTGCAAAGTGGCTAACACAGTTATTGCTTAATACTAATGCCTGTTCATCCCGGAATAATTTCATCACTCATTTAAAAACAGGTGAGAAGCCCCTTTTCCACAAAAGTAATACCAGTCTGCCAATAGCTATGTTCCCATATCCTTTACAAAATCCATCTTGGCTCTGCGGGTGGCTCACGCCTGTAATCTCAGCATTTTGGGAGGCCGAGTCGGGCAGCTCAGAAGGTCAGGAGTTCAAGACCAGCCTGGCCCATATGGTGAAACCCTGTCTGTACTAAAAATAGAAAAATTAGCAGGGCGTGATCATACATGCCTGTAATCCCAGCTACTCAGGAGGCTGAGGCAAGATAATTGCTTGAACCCGGGAGGTGGAGGTTGCAATGAGCCGAGATCATGCCACTGTACTCCAGCCTGGGCAACAGAGTGAGACTCTGTCTCAGAAAACAACAACAACAACAACAGAAACAAAAAAAAAAACAATATCCATCTCATCACGATTGGCCATGGTTGGTGATTTCCGAAGGCAGGTGATGGGTACGTAGGCAGAGTTTATTTGTACTATTCTCTTGACCTGTGTAAATATTCAACAATTTCCATAATAAAAATTTTAAGAAAGAAAACCTCAACAGAGGATTTTTAGGGTAGTGAAACTATGTATGATGCTATACTGGTGGGAACATGTCATTAAACGTTTGTCCAAACCCATAGAATGTATCACACTAAGAGTGAACCCTAATGTAAACTATGGGCTTTGAGTGATCATGATGTGTCCATGTAGGTTCACTGATTGTAACAAATGTACCAGTCTGGTGAGGAATGTTGCTAGTGGGAGAGGCTGGGCATGTGGGGGAGGGAGGAGGGAGTATATGTGAACTCTGTACTTTCTGAAAAATTTTGCTGTGAACCCAAAACTGCTCTCAAAAACAAAGTCTATTTTAAAAACACACACAAAGAAACAGAAAACATCTGCTCCCTAGCAGCCCGAGAATAGCAGAGGATACAAGTTATCTAGCACAGTGATTAACTGCAAAAACATGTTTATTAGGAGAGAGGGTGCTTTTGTTTAATAAATTGCATTCCTGGCCGGGTGTGATGGCTCACACCTGTAATCCCAGCACTTTGGGAGGCCGAGGTGGGAGGATTGCTTGAACCCAGGAATTCAAGAGCAGCCTGGGAAACAAAGTGAGACCCCCATCTCTACCAATTTTTCTTTTTAATTAGCCAGGCATGGTGGTGTGTACCTGTAATCCCAGGTATTTGGGAGGCTGAGGTGGGAGGATCACTTGAGCCTGGGAGGTTGAGGCTGGAGTGAGCCATGATCACACTATTGCACTCCAGCTTAGGTGACAGAGGAAGGCTCTGAGAAGGAAGGAAAGGAAGGAAGGACGGAAGGAAGGAAGGAAAAGAAAGGAAAGGAAGGAAGGAAAGGGAAGGAAAGAAGGAAAGGAAGAAAGGGAGGAAGGGAAGAAAGAAAAAAGAGAAAGGAAGGAAGAAGGAAATAAGGAAAGAAGGAAGGAAGGAGAGAGAGAAAGAAAAAGGCAGGAAAAGAAAGGAAAGGAAGGAAGGGAAGGGAAGAAGGAAAGGAAGAAAGGGAGGGAGGAAGGGAAGAAAGAAAGAAAGAGAAATGAAGGAAGGAAGGAAGGAACCAAATCAATTTTTCACCGTACCTCCTGTGATTTACGATCGTGCAAAAGTAATTTCCTGTGGGATTTCATCTGTGTGTATGCGTGTGCACCTGTGCCACATTTGCATTCTGCTTTCCCTCCCAGAGGTTGGCAGTTTTCTTAACGTAAGCACAACTCACACTTCATTTTGTCAAGACAGATTTCACATTGTGTTTCTCTACCTTGGTGGGCTAAAAAATCTGTCTACATTCTCATGAAATCATTTCATTTATTCTTTTTACTTTATCAAATGAAGCCTTTCCCTCACCTCCTTGGATCACATTCTGAACTGTCTGGCTTATGTGTTTGTTAAGTCAGTGATTCACAAAGCAATCACCCGGCTAATCGGCCAATGTATTTAGTGAGCTGGACATACCTCACCATCATCTTCCTTGAACTGGACCCAGTTTCTACTAGGTGTTGAAGCTGACATAGCCCATGGCAGGTGTCACTTTAATTTGTTGATCATCTTTTGATTAACCGAGTGATGGGCAAATCACAGAAAAACTGAATGAACAAAATAGCCAGCTTGAGTTGAGTCTATTTGCATTTTTGTTCTCTCGGTCATATAAATCCTCTACAAACCAGTGTCAATTTGTTCCTTTTTCTGCCCATGGCTTACTTAAAGGGTCTTTGATGTGGTAACTGGTCAGGCCTCTCTTAATATCCTGTAGCTGGGTCAACTCTTTGTTATTCTGTTTGGTATTTAATCCTGGAGACTAATGTTCTGCTCTGGTATGTTGTTTATCACTTCCAGATTATAGGTGTAGCAAATATTTTCCTAATGAAATAATCACTAACTTGACATTCTGCTTCTAGGATAATGCAACTAGGCTGGCTGGGCCCCTCCATTTGAATATTCTAAGATAGCTCTATGGTCTCAGTTCCTCCCACCTCCCAACTTCCTTTAGGTTTAAATGGATCCTTTTAGGCATGCTTTCTCTAAACGGCAGGGTTTTCGGTGCCACTTGAAATCCTCAATCTCTTTCATAATAGTAAAGTTTTGAAACTTAGCGTCTATTTCCATGTGCACGTGGACACCCTGTAGATACCGCCTCTGCAGCTGCTATAGTCCTTCCACTTCCTCGTTCAGTGAACCAAAATACCTGGAAGACACTCGTTTCCAGAATCTTCTCTAGAAACCTAAAACTTCACATGCTGATTTTGTTCAACTCCTTTTCAAATAAACTCAGGAGGCAGAACTGTGCTGGCCTAACAATTTTGAGGTGGCAGAAACACCTGCAGTGACAGATAATTGCAACTATTGCCATGTCTCTTGCTGTGTTTCCTGTTTGCTGGCTGCCTTCAGGATGAATCATATTTGTTTTCACGATGACAATTACTTCTTTACCTCTTCTCTGATTGTATTATGTGATACCTGTAGCCCCTTGGCTAGCTTAGTTCTTTCCTCATGAGCCTGTGTTCATCCCCATGAGTCATGGCGTCAAGTTTTCTTCACAGCAGACAGGAAATAATGGAACACACAACAGTCTCATCTCCCTAGACATTACTTCCAAACAAATCTCACCTCGTGGCACATCCTTGCCTCTTCTTGTGAATCTAACTCCTCTCTGTATGTGAATTAAACTCACCCTTCCAGAGCCACCTTAAGCCCCAGGTCTCTGACTACTCATGAAACTGTTATTGTTTATATAGAAAAGAAATAAGAATATACAGGTTGAGCACCCCTAATCCAAAACTCCAAAGTCTGAATTGCTCCAAATTAAAACTTCTGGAGTGCTGATTTGATGCCCCAAGTGGAAAATTCCACATCTAACCTCATATAATGGGTTGCAGTCAAAAGGCAGGTGGACAGCAGTTTATTCAACGTCCCCAAGGGAAAAATAAAATTACCTGCTGGCAGGCCACGCACGGTGGCTCACGCCTGTAATCCTAGCACTTTGGGAGGCTGAGGTGGCCAGATCATGAGGTCAGGAGTTTGAGACCAGCCTGGCCAACATGGCGAAACTCCGTCTCTACTAAAAATACAAAAATTAGCCAAGCGTGGTGGTGCACGCCTATAATCCCAGCTATTCAGGAAGCTGAGGCAGGAGAATTGCTTGAACCTGGGAGGCAGTTGTTGCAGTGAGCTGAGATCATGCCACTACACTCCAGTCTGGGTGACAGAGCAAGACTCCATCCCAAAAAAAAAAAAAAAAAAACCTGCTGGCTATGTGCATCAGGTATGTATGGAACAAATTTCATGTTTGGAAATGGGTCCTGGCCGGGCGCGGTGGCTCAAGCCTGTAATCCCAGCACTTTGGGAGGCCGAGGGGGGTGGATCACGAGGTCGAGAGATCGAGACCATCCTGGTCAACGTGGTGAAACCCCATCTCTACTAAAAATACAAAAAATTAGCTGGGTATGGTGGCGCGTGCCTATAATCCCAGCTACTCAGGAGGCTGAGGCAGGAGAATTGCTTGAACCCAGGAGGCGGAGGTTGCGGCGAGCCGAGATCGTGCCATTGCACTCCAGCCTGGGTAACAAGAGCGGCACTCTGTCTCAAAAAAAAAAAAAAAAAAAAAAGAAAAAGAAAAAGAAATGGGTCCTATCCCCAAGATACCCCATTATGTATATACAAATATCCCCCAAATCTGAAAAAATTCCCAAATTCTAAACATTTCTGGTCCCAAGCATTTTGGATAGGAGATACTCAATTTGTTTATGTTTTGCATAAAGAAACAGAAGTAGCCTGGCCAACATGGTAAAATCCTGTTTCTACTAAAAATACAAAAATTAGCCGGTGTGGTGGCGCAAAGCTGTAATCCCAGCTCCTCAGGAGGCAGAGGCTACAGTGAGCTGAGATCACACTACTGCACTCCAGCCCGGGTGACAGCGTGAGATCCTGTCTCAACACAGACACACACACACACACACACACACACACACACACACACACACACGCATATTTAAACTAATAAAAGTGGTTACTTGTAAAAGGCTGGGTGCACAGGGAGGGTGAGAAGTGATTTTTCACTGTTTAAAGTTTTTTAATTTTTGAAGCATGTGATTGTTACCTATTCAAAGTTAAATTACAAAGTAAATTAAATCCCTTGGTAAATAAACTCAACACATTTCTAGCTGATATATTTCACTGTTTCTATTTTTCCTACATCAGTCACAGAAATACGAGACAACTTTAGGAAATAGAAGAGCTAAAACCTTGAGATCCTCAAAGGTAACTGAAATAAAATGTTTAAACCAATGCGAAGCTCAGGTCTCCATTTTTGTTTATTTTATTTTTTTAAGTAATTTCTGTTCTTTACAATGTGTTATCACACACACATGTGTATGTGCACTTGCACACATGTGCACACACAGGACTTGAGATGGATAAACAAGAATAGCCTCCACACATGATTTTTTTACAAAGTTCAAAGTAGATTACATTTATGTGCTTTTCATTCATTACACAATGTACAGATATGATTCGTTTAATGACTTATGCTCCCCACATGGTTAAACAATGAGGATTTCCTATGGAAGACTAGACATAAAAGTTTTTAGAAGCAGAGACGTTTTCTGCTAAAACCAACTTCAGGCATACATTTGTGTTTACATATATTCCTTGAGAATACTACAGTAGCAGTGCATAAGTTCATTCTGTAAAAAGATCTGAAAGATGATTTTAAAGAGACTTAATGCATTGTGCTTTCAGGTAAAAATCCTAAGACAAAAGATCAGTTACTATGACAATAACAGTTAAAACTGCATATATGTGTTAGAGATCAGAAGAGGCTATAGAGAAATGTAAATAGTTGTGCTTGGGGGACTTTTTTTTGGCAAAGTTGTCTTAATAATAAATAAAACCTTAAAAAAAAGTCTCAGTGACTGATATAAAATAGACACAGCTATCAAGAGCTTCCTCTACTTGGCTTAGAGGTGAAAAATAATCTCCACATAAATCACCTGGTATCTGGTAATCCCAGTCTGGGCAAGTCAGGCGGGGAAGGGGCTTGGAAGAAAAGATAAAGTGATGTTTCCTTCCTATTAACACAAAGCATTAACCAGAGGTAAAGCCAGGTTGAACCAACTAACTAAACAGATGCCTACCTTCCTTTAGAACTCTCAGACCAAAGAGAGAGGTCATCCTACTTCTATTAGGTTGTTTTTCTTTTTTTTAACCCCATATGATGTTTGGTGTCTGGACCACAATCCATTCTGTAATTCACAAGATGAACTAAACATGTCCTGTCTTCTGTGAGACCCTAGAATAAGCATGATCCCTTAGTACTTTACGCTTTGTTTGCCCTCTACACATTAATGGTAAAACAATTATTTTTAGAAACACCATGGCAACCATTTATAATGATAGAGGGCAAGGTATAATTTACATAATCAGGTTGATGTTTGTAGGTAGGGAATAAATGTCATTTTAGTTTTAGGCCAGTTTGCTCTTTTAGTCTTGTAACTTTAAAGCATACGTGACCCCTCGTAATCAAAGGGAATTAGAAAAAAGATGAGAAAATAACAAATGTTTTAAAGTCTTTTGCACACCAGGTATAGATATAAAAAGAACTTCTTCAAATAATTTCCTACGTGTCACTCAGAAGCATCCTTGCCGTCTGTAATACAATGTTATGCAGTCCTTCAAATTATAGAGTAATTTAAAATATATATTATACATTTGAAATTATTTCAAATCATTCTATAGTTGGTAGCATGTTAATGCAGTGAAATAGAGATAAAAGGCAGTCCACATTCATATGTTCAAGACAGTTACTTCAGAAGTCAACTGAAATCCTTGCTCATGTTCTAAGTATGGCCATTGTGATAAGACCTGAAAGATGAAAAATGGAGAACAGTTAAAAGACATGCATCTAACAAAATTTCCATTCAATAAGCAATTGTTTGGACCTCAATGAACAAATAAAATGTAGCACATACGCAGGCACTCTACCAAGAACTCAAAGTCAAATTGAATTTTGTTGATATTATACAAAAGAAATCCAATTTATAGCAATGGACAGTCACTGCAGAGATTTAATTAAATCACTAATGTCTGGCCATAGCAAATCTATCCATCAAACATGTCTCCTACTTTATCCAGTCGCATCAGCCACAGTAATAGCAGATGTGCCACTTTAAAGCATGGGTAAAGCCAGTGGACTTTGTCAACAAAAGCATCAAGTCTACCTATATTCCAGGGCCCTAGGGCCACAAAGAGGCAGAAGCAGGGCATTCCTGTTTTGCTTCTCTCTTTTGAAGAGACTCTCCACATAAAACAAAAATAAGAAGAATAATATGTTCTGTCCTAAATGAAGGGTAATGAAAGTGTGATTAAAAAAAAAAAAAAGTACACAGAAGGAGAATAATCACATGGGACTGGGGAAGTCAGAAAAGTTGTCCCCAGTGGTAAAAGCTGCCTTAAAAGATGGACAGGGGCCAGGCATGGTGGCTCATGCCTGTAATCCCTGCACTTTGGGAGGCCAAGGTGGGTGGATCACCTGAGGTCAGGAGTTTAAGACCAGCCTGGCCAACATGGGAAAACCCCGTCTCTACTAAAAATACAAAAATTAGCCAGGTGTGGTGGCAGGCACCTGTAATCTCAGCCACTCAGGAGGCTGAGGCAGCAAAATCCCTTGAACTGGGGAGGCAGAGGTAGCAGTGAGCCAAGATCATACCACTGCCCTCTCCAGCCTGAGTGACAGAGACAGACTCTATTTAAAAAAAAAAAAAAAAAAAAAAAAAAAAAAGATGGACAGGAAAGAGACAGAATGAGGAGATGGGCAGGCATTTCAGGTGAGGGAATGGCATGAGTAAGGGCCTGGAGGGCTGGGCCTCTAGAGGAGCTTTTCCAGAATCAGTGAATAATCTAAAAGGCTTTATGCAATGATTTATAGAGGGAAGCAGCTAGACAAGATTGGCTCATAGACATCTCAGATTGTGGAGTCTTAAATGACAAACTATGGCACTAAGGGTTATACACTTCATTCTATGGATTATGGAGAACCACTGAAGGTTTTTGACTAGGGGGTGGTCGTGAAAGCAAAAGAGAAATTAATCTGACAATGTGATGGATGGTTGGTGAGGGGAAGTGAATGGATGAAAGCAGGCCAGGCGCGGTGGCTCACACCTGTAATCCCAGTACTTTGGGAGGCGGACAGATCACGAGGTCAGGAATTCAAGACCAGCCTGGCTAACATAGTGAAACCCTGTCTCTACTAAAAATACAAAAAATTAGCCAGGCGTGGTGGAGGGTGCCTGTAATCCCAGCTACTCAGGAGGCTGAGGCAGGAGAATTGCTTGAACCTGGGAAGTGGAGGTTGCAGTGAGCAGAGATTGCCCCATTGCACCCCAGCCTGGGCGACAGTGCAAGACTCCATCTCAAAAAAAAAAAAAAAAAAAAAAGGAGAGAAGGAAGAACACAGACAGAAGGTAGAGAGACAACCTAGAAGACAATTTTGAAATGAAAAAGAGAGAGCAATATGCCAGGGAATACTGAAAGAGTTGGCATCTAAGCATGAGGAAAGTCATTCATCACCAGAACACTAATCCTCGACACATGGAAAGTATGGAATAAATGTTTGTTCAATTTAAATGATCAACTCTAAGATTTCAAGCCAGGATGGCTGAAGGAAATAAGGGAATTGGTTTAAAGAGAAAGGTTCTGAACATGGTATCTTCAAAAGTAAGGAAAAAATAATAATAAAAGAGAAAGGTTCACAATATTAAACAAGGCTGCACTGTTCATCTTTATCACAGTATAGTTTGTCTATTTCCCTAGGGCAATTCTTAAAAGTAGAAATGCTTTATCATGGAATACATATGTTTTACATTTTATACATGTTTTACGCCACTGTAAGTCAGAAAAGGAAAATAATTGAATACAGTATCAGGTATTAGATAGATACGCTAAAAAGAAATAAATACGAGCTAAAAATTATTCAAAGGCACCTGACCTCAACATGCTCTTGAAGCATTTACCTGTTCTTCTAAAAAACAAAAAAATCAAACCACCACCACCCTGCCACACACATAAAACCCTACACATATGTCCCAAATGCATCTTTAAAACCCTTACCTAAGATATAAGCAGCCACTAATTTTTGATTCACACTTAAGTGGAGGTAGAGAGGCACCAGCGATTCCACATCCCCCAGTGTAGGCAGCATGAGGGCTGCAATGCACACCACTCCCAGGAAGACAGTTAGTAAACTAGGTCCTGAGGAGACAGCTCTGTTTTCTGTAAAAAGACAAAAATCCCTAAGCTTCCTTCCAAAAACTTTAAGACAAAAGTTCCTTCACAGATACTGGCCGCCACTCACCAGGATTCTGATTTTGTCTAACTTCTCCGATTGTTTCCCCATCATTTTCATCCGTCAGAGAGTTAACTGCTGGGCTGACGTGGAAGCCCATATCTTAACCGGTCTGAATCATGGCTGCATAGAATGCTGACGTAGCATTGTGAGGTAGTGAGTTCCTACTGAAAGGTGGTCACCAACTCCTCCCACCACCCCACCATAGTCAGTAGAAAGTATCCAAGCATGTATCATCAATCTATGCACATTTTAAAATTATAAGCACATGCTCTGTACTGTTAGGCTTAATATAAAATATACAAATCGAATTTTGGAAGAATGTGCTAAAATAAACATAAATTGAAGTTCTGATATTTTCTTCCAGTACCCCAGTGACTTGCCTGTGTATATTCAATTCGAGCCTGCCACACTAGACCTCCACTACCTTTTTGGAACATTTTAGGGAGATCTCCAGATAGGTTTGATCCTAATAACTGTACATCCTACTATCGATTTTGAAAATGTTAAGGAACTAAAAGTGTTTCCCTCTGCTCTATCCCATTTATAGCAAAGAACACAGCAGAAATGGTATCTGGCAAATACGCTAAGTGAAATAAGCCAGTCACAGAAGGACAAATACTGCATGATTCCACTTACACATGGAATCTAAAATAGTCATACTCATAGAAGCAGAGAGCAAAATGGTGGTTGCCACAGGATGAGGGAGAAGGATAATGCAAATTGCTAATCAATGGGCATAGATCTCAATTATGTAAACTGAGTCCTAGAGATCAGCTTGGCAACACTGTCCCTACAGTTAAACAGTATTTTATTGTACACATTCATTAAGAGAGTAGATCTCACGTTAAGTGTCCCTAAAATACAATTCTGAAAGCTTAAAAATAAAGGCTGGGTGTGGTAGTTCACGCCTGTAATCCCAGCACTTTGGAAGGCTAAGGTGGCGGATCACGAGGTCAGGGGATACAGAACAGCCTGACCAACATGGTGAAACCCCGTCTCTACTAAAAATACAAAAAGTAGCCAGGCGTGGTGGCATATACCTGTAGTCCCAGCTACTCAGGAGGCTGAGGCAGGAGAATTGCTTGAACCTGGGAGGCGGAGGTTGCAGTAAGCCAAGACTGTGCCATTGCACTCTAGCCTGGGTAAAAGAGCAAGACTGTCTCAAAAATAAATAAATAAATAAAATGTTATCAGACCTGCTATTCTACAGTTCTGGCTCTATGTGTATAGTATACATACTCATACTTTTAAGAAACCCAATAACAGCATTTTTTTTTTTTTTTTTGTCATATGGCTTTTCCCACTACCTTTCCTTTCATTAAAAGGAACAGCCAACAGCAATACAATCTTTGTGTTTTAATAATGAAATGCTGTTCATTCTATTATTAAATGGAACTTTTCTAAATTATTAATACCTTAGCTGTTGTATGGAGTTTAATTGAACTTCATCAGAGCCAGAGAGGTGAAAACAAATTCAAATTTTATAGTAATTACTGCTTGGGATGAAACAATAGCAGAAATACCTAAAAGAAAAACTATTAATTTCAGTTAATAGAGTACCCTTATAGTTATATTTGCAAGGATGAATTCTCAAGAAAAACAGTTATTTATGACAAATACACTGTTCACTGCAAATCCACAATAAAGATCATTTCGAAGAATTTTTAGTATTTAGAGAACATTTAGCACATAGAGAAATTTGGAATTTTTAGTATTCCAAAAATATTTGCATAAATGCTTGAAATTTTTCAAGATGAAAAAAGCTTTTTTTCCCTAGTACTACAGGATAATTGTAAAATACGTTATAAAGATAAAGAAAATGTAAATGTTCCTCATAATTCCACCCTCCTAGAGCTAACAGTGTTAACAGCTTGGTATGTATCCTTTCAGATTTTACAAACGCCCATATAAACATTTAGAAGAATATTTTACATAAATAAGGCCATATTATACATACTGTTATGTAACTGCTTTTCTTTTTCCTTAGAAATATATTTGAATACAAGTCATGGCACAAAAAACAAAAATTAAAAAAAAAAGAAATATATTTGAAGCTCTTTCTATGACAATGTATAAGCATTTATCATTCTATCAGATCCTTGTAAATGTCTGCCTGGCACACTATCTTATGAATATTTATAATTTAATCAATTTATAAGTGATAGGCTTTTAGGATATTTTCAATTTTTTTTATTTTTATAAACAATAATTAAGACCATAATTTTTTTATATGTGTGTGTATGTACAGACCATAATCATCGTAAGCCAGAGGGCACTGACTCAAACATTATAGCATAGACATAGCAATCCGTTAGTAATGTAATTAAGACAAACCAACTAAGATTCCGATGTATCTTTTAAAATGGCTTTTTAAATAACCTGAGCTCTAGTACTTTATAAAAGTATACTCTGCAGGTTTCCCTTAACAGTTAAATTTCTGTTGAATGAAAAAAAATCACAAAATATAAAATTGCACTTACACACACAGGCAAGGTCTGGAAAGTAACATGGAACACTTATATAAGCAGATTTGTTAAATGTGTGAGATTACAGGTATATTTTCTTATGTTACTGCTATATGTATTTGATACAATAAACTTAAATGTTTTCTTTTTACTGACTTTCAATATATTTCAAAATCCAAATTTTTCATAACGTAGCCATCAACCATTTTCCTGCTAAAAGTGAGTCTCCCAACACTTTTGTACCTCTAATACTTTAATAATATGCTAATACTTTAATAACATTGTTGAAATGTCCTCTAAGCTAAGGACTTGTAAAAGTAATGACATTTCAAAGCCTCCCCAAAACAATCTCAATTTATTTAAACATTTTAATTCAGAGAAACTTAATGAAAAACCTGAGTGTTCCACATGTTGGCAACCACACATAAATTCCTGTAAATTTAGCAGACAGGAGACTAAATCAGTCATCATGATACTCTATTAAAGAAGAAACTACTCAACTTACTGCCAGGTTATTAGGCACACTGGAGTCACTACCCATAAATGGGATATACTAGCCAGGACTGTGAATGGAGCTCTACTGTGGTATCATCCTTCCTCTAAAAAGCTGTCATAGCCATGAAAACCTTGTAAGCTAAAACAAAACAAAACAAAACAAAACAAACTCACCATTGCCACAGACTGTTACCAGACCTGATGTCCAGCCTTTCTAGCTCAGCCCATTTACAAGTTTTATTTATTTATTTATTTTTAACATTTTTTTTTTTAAGACGGGGTTTCACCATGTTGATAAGGCTGGTCTTGAACTACCAACCTCAGGTGATCTGCCCGCCTTGGCCTCCAAAGTGCTTGGATTACAGGCATGAGCCACCACGTCCGGCTTCCCATTTACAAGTTAATGCCAGACGCTGTGCTAGGTGCTGAGGATATAACAGTACTAGGAAAAATGCCTGCCTTCACAGAGCTTCCTTGCAGGAATGGATTAGAGAATTCTTCCCCCCAAAACAGAGATCGCCATATGTTATACCAGCATCACTTATCCTCATTGATCTGCCTACTGCAATTTTACAATCAGAAAAATTCTCTAATGTACTTTAGATGTCGAGGTTTGTTATAAAAGTAAAGCCTGAGCTCTGTAATCCTAGTACTTTAGGAGGCTCCGGTGGGAGGATTACTTGAGGCTAGGAGTTCAAGACCAGCCTGGGCAACACAGTGAGACCCTAGGTATGGTGATGTGCACCTGTAGTCCCAACTACTTGGGAGGCTGAGGCAGGAGGATTACTTGAATCCAGGAGTTGGAGGCTGCAGTGAACTATGTATAATGGTACCACTCCACTCTAGTCTGGGTGACAGAGTGAAACCCTTTCTCAAAAAATAAAAAATAAAACAAAATAAGACAATACATACTACAATTCTTTTTTTTTTTTTTTTTTTAAAGACAGGGTTTCACCGTGTTGGTCAGGCTGGTCGTGAACTCCTGACCTCAGGTGATCTGCCCACCTTGGCCTCCCAAGTGCTTGGATTACAGGTGTGAGCCACCACGCCAGGCCATACTATAATTCTTTAGCCTTTTAGTAGGTTCTTCACCTGAATTTTAATAAATTTTAAAATAAAAGAAATCGAGTTCTCCTTACATATTATTTACATACACATATACCCCTAAATCTTACCCCTTATTATTTTTGGCTATTAAACCAATCTGTTAAATACAAAATTGAACTTCACAGACTATTTTAAATTACAAGTCTAACTTCAAAAAACAACTACAAATTAAATGGCCTTTCTTGTACTGGTGAACGCATTTTAAAAGTGGAATCTTGCATTTCGTAACTACGTTAACTTTACAATATTGATCTGACAAAGGGACACTGGACAAAAGTTCTCTTTCAGCTTCAAAAGATGAAAAGCTGGTCCTGTCAACTGATAATAGTTGCTGAGAATAAAATAATCCACTATAGGTTGGTGCAAAAGTTATTGCGGTTTTTCCAATTAAAGTAATGGCAAAAACTGCAATTGCTTTTGCACCAACCGAATAGCTACTACCTGATCTCTAGTCCTGGTATTACCAGAAAATCTAGATGCTCCCTAATGGACCGGGAAGAGACTTCTGGCTACAATGAATCAAAGAGGTACCACTTGTTGCTATTGAAATAAACATTCTATGAACAAACTGATGTGACTGAATGTAACAGCAAGAAGAGTTTTTTTAATCCTTCATATAATGTTGCAATTTCAAGGACAACTGCTGTCATAGTCATGTAACAGGGTCACCATCAGAAAGTTTCCAGTTTCCCTGTTTTTCTATGGAAAATTTTATCTTTCTCCTATTACAACAGGTTTAGGAGGAGATAATGAGAAGTTAAGAGGAAGGGGTAATGACGTCCAAAGAGTTGAATATGAGGTAGTGTCAATGTTGAAAGAATATATCATAACACTTCTGAATATCTAAGCTGGAAGGAAATGAGGACTGGAGAGGGATTCAATTAATAGCCCACAGGGGATATTATAATCTACTTAGTTTAATTAACTTCAACTTTAATGAGATTTTTTTTTTTTTTTAAATAATATGAACAGTGCACTAAGCTTGGCCTATTGCCAAACACAATCTCTCTCTTCCTTGGAACTAATTAAATGAGAAAGGATATAGGAAAGTCATGGAAACAAAGTATAGAACTGCCAAATTGTACTAGCTTCATAAAGTATGGTGTCTGCAGTCTTAGATATATTTATGTTATAGATATATTTAAAAGGCTACAGCACCATCTACACTCTCCTTACAGCCTAGTCCAGTGAGGGGTATTCCTTCCTCTCAAAGTCCACCTCTAGGCTTCGGCTACCTGATTCTCTGGGTTCAGTTTTTAAGTAGTCAACCATGTTTGAAGTGAGAGATGATTTTCCTAGTAATTCTTCTTAGCTGCCTGATTATTTTAAAGTTAATAATGTGTAAGGCCTCAAAAGGGCTTTAAAACAACCCAAAACTACCTGGTTGAAACGACTGCTCAAAAAATAAACTTTCAGTTAAATGTTCCTTTATTCTTTTTTCCTCTTCTTCCTTTTGTTGTTCTTTTGCTGATGGGAGAAGAGTAGCAACAACCTCTTTTCTTCCCAAAGCCTTCCTTTGGCTTTGCTCGGAAACTTGGAGACGGAATTTGTCTATCACGCCATAGTGACACGATCGAACATCTCTATGACGAATCACACTGAAAACAGCAAAAACAACAAATGCTGTTTAGATTTCTGGGAGCCGGCCAAACAGAATGCAGTGAGATATTTTAATACACTAAAACAATATTAACTGACTGTAACCAAATACTCAAAAACAGAAATTTGCTAAGATGCTAAAAAAATCACAGTATAACCCAAAAGAAATCAGTAATTCTGAAATATTTGATTAAAACACATACTCTAAAACACAGAATAAAAGTCTTAAGCCAAAAATAAATGATAGGTAAAGAAAATTCCTTTTTGGTCAGGCATGGTGGCTCACGCCTATAATCCCAGTGCTTTGCGAGGTTGAGGCCAGGATCACTTAAGGCCAGGAGTTTGAGACCAGGCCAAGCAACATAGAGACCCCATCTCTATAAAAAAATTTAATAATTAACTGGTGCGGTGGCATGCATGTAGTCCTAGCTACTTGGGAGGCTGAGGTAGGAAAATCCCTTAAGCCCAAGAGGTTTAGGCTACATTAAGCTATGATCGCTGTCACAGCAAGAGAGCAAGGCTCTGTCTCAAAAAAAAAAAAAAAAAAAAAAAAAAAAATCCCTTTAGCAGTGACTTTTTTTTTTTTTCTGAATATCTCTGTGAAGCAACATTTACTAAATAGGAATACATGCAATTGTTTATTCCCCACAAACATCTCATAAATTTCTATTGCTACTTACTTATTGTTCAAGCAATAAACCTCACCCTACACTTAAAATTGAATTCCAGGCATGCAAGTAGAAACAGGCAACTGAGTAAGTAAGTAATCCAGTACAACAGAAGGCCAATAATACACCTCTATTTCTCTAAAGAGAAAAGAGCATGAAGCACTGTAATTCTTTTTTTTTTTTTTTTTTTCTTTTCTGAGACAGTTTCACTCTTCTTGCCCAGGCTGGAGTACAAGAGTGCAATGGTGATCTCGGCTCACTGCAACCTCTATCTTCTGGGTTCCAGCGATTCTCCTGCCTCAGCCTCCCAAGTAGCTAGGATTACAGGCACCTGCCACCATGCCCAGCTAAATTTCTGTATTTTTAGTAGAGACAGGGTTTCACCATGTTGGCCAGGCTGGTCTCAAACTCCTGACCTCAGGTGATCCTCCCACCTTGGCCTCCCAAAGTGCTGAGATTACAGGCGTGCGCCACCACACCCGGCAGAGCACTGTCATTCTTTCTGCAATTCCATTTATTTTATTTTGTTCTTACTAGGGAACACAAAACAATTAGGTCAAAGATAACACATTAATTTGGCAAGAGACCACATTTCTTTGAAATAATTCTTGCTTATTGTGTACTAAAGGAAAATTTTTTAAAATGCGCAAAAACACATTCTCAAAGATACATCATTTTATGGCTTTGAGCTTATGAAAAAGTATTCAAAAGAAAAGAACTGTGCTTCTCATTCTCACAGAAGATTTAAACAAATAGTGTACTTAGTAGCTTAAATTAAGGGTTGGTCAATTGATCCATCTGGTCACCACTATTTCTAAAGTAAAAATTAAATATGAACAGCTTGAACAATCACTTATCTGACACTCGAATATGAAATTATCTGGAAGAGCTCAGATAGTATTTTACAGATGAGTAGTTACACAACTGCTTCTTGTTTATATAGATTAAATTCCAGGCTTTTAGTTGAATCACTTCAGAGAAACTTATATTACCATTGTTTTTAGACTGCAGTATTATAGTTTTCCAAATTTCACTATAATAGCAGCATGGTCCAAAGAAAGTTAAATCCCCTATTTTAGCTGGAGAAATTTAAAGGAATAAGTCAGAACTTTACCTTTATAAACATCCCTAGTATGACTAAAACCACAACAATGAGAAAATGTTCATGGAGATACTAACACATACATGAGCTCCAACATCATGAAATATTATTAAGTATTTGGCCGAATCTCTTAGACACTTCTTACAAAGAACTTGATAGACAAACTTTCAGCAAAAATTCAAAAGATTATAAATCCCTATGTGGGAACAGCTTCAAGAAATTATTTTTTTTCAAGTTAAAAATATAAATATTAACACACTTAAAATGTGTTACCAGGAAGTAATCTTGACTTACATATCCACACAACACTGAGGCTTTACTGCACCTGCAGCATCAACGACAACATACTTATTTGGAGTAGTACACAAAACTGAAAGAAAAAGTCACAATGGGCATTAGTGTTTTGTTTTGTTTTTTGTTTTTAATTAGTTTCTACAAGTAAAAAATTAGTAGGGACCAGTTAAAAACCCAGAAAATATAGCTAGGGGACTTACCTTTGAACTTTAAGGCAAACTCATAGGGATTGTACAGTGTCAACACTTGCTTATGTGTTGACTGATCATCTGCATAAAATATGAGCTCCGTGGGGAACACGAAAACAGGAAGATTTCCTTCCACTAACTCTGGTTGTCTTTTTTGTTGATGCATTGGCACTGAATCCCCCTTGCTGTGGTTTCTGTTTTTACACTCTCAAATCTATTTTGGATTTTTCTTAGATTGAGTTAAAAACTCCAAAGCATTTTGGCAATCTAGAAATAGAAGGAGAAAGCAAGAAGAAAAGTGAATGATCCCAATTTTCATTAATCTATAGCCCCTCCACAAAAAGCATATTTAGCATGCATTAAAATAGGCCCCCAAATTGGCTGAGTGCAGTATCTCATGCCTGTAATCCCAGCACTTTGGGAGGTTGAGGCAGGCAGATCACTTGAGGTCAGGATTTCAAGACCAGCCTGGTTAACATGGTGAAACCCTCTGTCTACTAAAAATACAAAAATACAAAAATTAGCTGGGTGTGGTGATGCACCTGTAGTCTCAGCTACTCAGGAGGCTGAGGCAGGAGGATTGCTTGAATCTGGGAGGTAGAGGTTGCAGTGAGCCACGATCGCACCGCAGCACTCCAGCCTGGGCTACAGAGGGAGACTCTGACTCAAAAAAAAAAAAAAAAAAAAAAAAAGTTCCCAAATTACTTAAACATGCCTTTTGACTTTTTCCCTTTACTTACATAGCTTTGACCAAATTATACAAAGAGGTTTATACATGCTCCTTTCACATTGAGGATTTCAACCTATGGTAAATTATCTAATACTCAAAGGAATAAAGAAGTCTTTTTCAAATTAATGACCCCCTTTCAAAGAGGTGAGATCAAAGGTATATCACCCTTTTTAAACCTCAGATTTTTTGAAAAGTAGAATAAATTAAGTATAATCACAACTGATTTTGCATGAGTCCAGCAGAATTCTTAAAGACTAAAAAATAAACACAAAGTAAGTTTCCATGAGTTCTGGGAGAAAACCATGAGAATCACTTTTACGCTTGTGTCAACAATACTTTATTTAGTGCCTTCTTGGCAGCATGGGTGGGAGAGTTCTTTTATTCTTTTTTCTACTGAAGCCAGAAACAAGCTAAAATGTCTTGAAAGAAGGCCGAATGGCAACACATGCTAAGCAGTCCTTGGAATTTTTTTACGAAAATGTGAAGTCAGTAAATAGGCTTTGGCATGTGAGTGGCACTGTGCCTCTCCCACCTACATCAAGTACACATGCTTTGTGAGAGCTATTCTCCTCCAACTTCAGAGACTTTTTTGGATTCCCTCTGGGTTCTTGAATGTGTTCCAGATAGCTATAACTGACAGAAGTCTGAATGCCTGATAAGTGTGATGTTTCTCTATTTCCTGATCTCATTTAAATCAATATTCTTACTTACCAAGCACACCAAGTGTGCCTTTTTTTTTTTAAGAGACAGGTTCTCCATATGTTACCCTGGTTGGTTATGAACTCCTGGCCTCAAGCAATCCTCCTGACTCAGCCTCTGGAGTAGCTGTGACTATAGGCATGCCCTCACTATTAAGGCATGGCTTTTAAAAATAAAATGTAAAAGCTAAAACATACAATCAGAGAAAACCTCTGATTTTCACCATGTAGATCACACCTTTAAAACAGACTATAAGCCACTTAACAGTTTCAAGTTCAGGTTCTCATACATTCAAAGAGAATAAAACAAATCAATGAATTATTTGGTTTTACCAGCTACTGAGGCACATATCCTCTGCTTCTGATAGAGGCCTTTCCAACTTCTATCAAACAGGAGCTGTGTAATCATGTATGCAAATATTTATTCTTTTCTTTCAGCTGGACATCTATTATATGCCAGGAACTATGTCAGAGCTGAGCACAGATACAAAGATGAATAATGCACAGGCTCTACCCTCAAGAAGTTGAAGTCTAATTGACAAGACAAAAATATTGAAGCTACCTCAAATATAATGCATACCATGGTATGCATAGTGCTAGAGAATCAGAAGACTACATAAGTAATTCTACCTGGAAGAAAGGCCAGGAGTTGGCCGGGTGCAGTGGCTCACGCCTGTAATCCCAGCACTCTGGGAGGCCGAGGCAGGCAGATCACTTGTGGTTAGGAGTTAGAGACCAGCCTGGCCAACATGGTGAAACCTCGTCTTTACTAAAAATACAAAAAGTAGCCAGGTATGGTAGTGTGTGCCTATAATCCCAGCTACCCAGGAGGTTGAAACAGAAGAATTGCTTGAGCCCAGGAGGCAAAGGTTCCAGTGAGCTGAGATTGTGCCAACGTACTCCAGCCCGGGTGACAGTACAAGACTCCATCTTGGAAAACAAACAAACAAACAAAAAACCTGTTCCTGAAGATAGAAACAAACAAAAAAATGATAAATTCATCTGTATAACTTTTTAAATTTTGCATGGCAAAAAAACTTTATGAGCAAAGCCCAAAGGAACACTTACGATCCATATCACAAGCAATAGCTTCCCTACTATATGGAGGGCCTATGAATTACTGAGAAAAATACAACTTGATATAAAAGTATATGCAATTATCGCTTTTCAATTAAATCTACAACAAATTTCCAGATATAAAGGGTATAAAGAGAAATAAGAATTTTTAACTACAACAAAAAATGAGCAAACTATAATATTTCATCAAAAAGGGACATAAAAATTCTCCTTGAACTTACAAAAGGATGTTTAACCTCACTCACAAGAAAAGAAATGCAAACTAAAGCCATACTACAACACAATTTTTTTACCTGTCTCGTTAGTAAAACTCAAACTTTGATAGCACATCATCATGGGAGCAATCAAGCATGTGCTTACACTGCTTGTGAGGAGGTGAATTGGCATAACCGTTGTACCTGCCAAATTAAATGCACACATCCTCAGATCCAGAGATTCTATGTCTAGGGATTTATCTGGCTTATATATTCCCCTTGTGTGAAGTCATGTAGGTGAAAGGTTTTTTCTCTTCAATGCTGAGGGTTAAATAAAATAATTTATGTGAAACAACATGGAAAAGACCTTGGCACTCAGTAAGAACTAGTTTTTTGGTGTTCATAGCAAAAGATTGGAAACAAGCCCCGTGCGGTGGCTCACACCTGTAGTCCTAGAGCTTTGGGAGGCCGAGGTGGGCAGATCACCTGAGGTCAAGAGTTAAAGACCAGCTTGGCCAACATGGTGAAACCCCATCCCTACTAAAAATACACAAATCAGCCAGGAGTGGTGGTGTGTGCCTGTAATCCCAGCTACTCGGGAGGCTGAGGCAATAGAATCCCTTGAACCTGAGAGGTGGAGGGAGGTTGCAGTGAGCTGAGATTATGCCACTGCACTCCAGCCTGGGCGACAGAGTGAGACTCAATTAAATAAAGTATAGTCTATCCATTCATTGAGATACCAGATATCAAGAGGAGACTCTGTGTAGTTGGAGATGGGCTGATCTTCAAGATGTAGTGTTAAGTGAGAAATGCAAGGAGCAGTGCAGTGTGTAACAAATGCTGCCATTTGTATAAAAGGGGAGATAAAAGAATATGTAAAGCTATTCTCTTGGATATGGGTGAAATTCTTTAGGAGGATATCCACATTTGTCCATGGAGAGAAAAACTAAGCCGCTAGAGATGGGGTGGGAAGAATTTTTCTCTGGATACTCTTTTGTATCTTTTGAATTCTGAGTCTTTGAATACTTATTTTTATATGTATTTTATAAGTATTTTGAATACTTATATTTTTTAAAAAATCAAATTTAGTTAACAACTCTGCTAGGTAGGGCCTATTTTGAAAAAGGTGCCTGTTTTGAAACACAAGAGGGAATTTAGAAACAATGTGCGAAAAATCTCTGTTAAGTGTATTTTCTAATTTATCATCCTCTAAAAACACTGAAAACCTTAAACTATTGGCTAAATAGAAGAATTTTCATTTTTAAAAATAATTTACATGCAACAGAAACTCCCTAATGAGAAAAACAAAGATTTAAGACAACTTGCAAACTTAAGAACATGTTTAACTCCAATGTGAAACTATTTGTTTTAAAAGAGTATGAAACGGTTCATAAATCTGACTGGGAAGTCAAAATTAACCACACAGACAAGTGCTAAACTCTTGGTTCTAACTTTAAGGAGAAGTTAGTCAACGGAAGTCAAAGTACAAATTTTACTTTTACTATCTTCGAATAATGGCATAGTAGAAATTCCTTTTAATTTCAAAGCCTTCTGTGTCTGAATTTCAAAGTCCTGCCTCAGCTGGGCGTGGTGTTCATGCCTGTAATCCCAGCACTTTGGGATGGTGAAACCCTGTCTGTCTAAAATACAAAAATTAGCTGGGCGTGGTAGTGCACGCCTGTAATCCCAGCTACTCAGGAGGCTGAGGCAGGAGAATTGCTTGAATCTGGGAAGCAGAGGTTGCACTGAGCTGAGATCACATCACTTCACTTCAGCCTGGGTGACAGAGCGAGACTCTGTCTCAAAAAAAAAGTTCGTATTTTTAGTAGAGACGGGATTTTGCCACGTTGGCCAGGCTGGTCTTGAACTCCTGGCCTCAAGTGATCTGCCTGCCTCGGCCTCCCAAAGTGCTGGGATTACAGGCATGAGCCACTGCGCCCGGCCAGGGAGGGGAAATTTGAATTAGGTTTTGAAAAATGAGTAAAGTTTTGCTGTCCAGAGAGGAAGAATGGGGCAAACCTTAATTATTAATGCCCTGATGAATAGTTCCTGACAACTATAGCTGTTTCATAATCAGGAAAAAAGTGTGTGCAATTCAGTAAGTGAAATTGTCTCTTGATTTTTATATATATATATATATATATATATATATGAAAAAAAGTCCTGCCTCCCTCATGCTGACTACCACACATGCCCTAAATCTGTAGCCACTGTCCCTGCTTATCAAGAAGATCAGAGTTCGTGCAAAGGATGTTCCAAAATTCACATCACAATCAATTCTGCATTGTCTTGTGTTTCCTTTTCAGTTTTATAAAGAAAAATCAAGAGACAATTTCACTTACCTAATTGCACACACTCTTTTCCTGATTATGAAACAGCTATAGTTGTCAGGAACTATTCATCAGGGCATTAATAACTAAGCTTTGCCCCATTCTTCCTCTCTGGACAGCAAAACTTTACTCATTTTTTAAAACCTAATTCAAATTTCCCCTCCCTGGCCGGGCACAGTGGCTCATGCCTGTAATCCCAGCACTTTGGGAGGCCGAGGCAGGCAGATCACTTGAGGCC